GGGTTCACACGCATTACGCACCAGAAGAGATGAAGCAACGTTCACACGTTGGAAACGATTATCATCAGAAAGTATGTGAGGCACCCAAACACCTTCTTTATGGAGTTTTCCCACATTCCTTATATGTTTATGTATTGTTTCATGAGAGGCATGCAATTTCAGCACCATTTCACAAGTGTGTTGCCTTGGGTTAGACTCAACAAGAATCTTCAGAGCATCAATATCAATTCCAACATGTCATCACAGTTTTTAAAGCTAAAGTCACATGAAGAAAATTTGCTGAACCATCGTTGACACTTACGAACATTCAAAACATTTCCATAAACTTCTTTGATATTCTTTGTAGCAACAGAAGCATTGTTTTCCTTCTTGTGTTCACACAGCATTACATGCCGAATGTGTGTCTCGTCATGTGTCATCGCTGTAAGGGCTTAGAGTATAGTTAGGCTACACTAACATAGTGTTTAGGCGGTTCATTTAACTAGAATACATTATGTACGTTTTTTGGGGGAGTGGTTAATGTTCCAAAATGTGACATTAATTTCTTGACGACCTAATATTATCACTAGCATTAAAAATTACATTGTAAGATATTACTGATAATTTTTTTATTATTACTAGTCGAAATAACTAAAGATTTTCATACAGACTTTCAGTTAATGATTTCCTGCATTGCAAAAGCTACATATGCATATTTAAAATATGGGCCACTTTCAAGTTTGTTTATTAGCTATATACTCACCTGTTGCCATGACAACACAGTTATCTTGTCCTTCTAACACAGAATGAATAATTTTCCACTGCATCCTAAAACACAGAAAAAAGTTTTAAACATTTTCTTTTGTATATAGAAACACACTACATATATATCTGTAATATCACTATTAAGTTTGAAAGAGAATAAACTGGCTTTCTGTTATCTTTTTGTAAATAAAGTCCTACATGTCATATTTAGAGCATAGAAGCAATTCAACATGCCTCAATCAAACATACTGTTTATCAGTTTTAGTGTATTTCATGAGTTTATTACACAATAAATCTTAAACAAACATGAAAGAGGTTTAAGCTCAAACAAAAATACTTAAAACATTTCCCAAACATTAACTCACTGGAATAAAATTAGAATAAAAATTATTCATCAGCCTTTGCACATTGAATTTTGACTGGAACACAAAACTGAATATCAGCCATTCTTTCACTTTCAGGAAATGCTGTATTTGCAGCTTGTTCAATAATGTGCCCATTCTAGAATTTCATTCAAAAACTGTCATTTTCATTATTCCTTGACAATTCCATATACAGTGATCAATAAAACCCTCAAGTTCTAGCCAAATGATTGAAAGAAATTTAGGGCTCTACCTATTAATATTTTTAAAGATACAAAAATGGCTTTTATAAAATATAATTTACAGAAGTAGAGGTACATATGTGAAACAAATATAACTTAATAATTTTTGTGATAAATTGTGAAAGACATTTATACTTTAGTGTGGTATTCCAATATTTGACTAATTAATCTGAGGAAAACTCTCTCCTTACAGAGAAACAAGTACAAACTTACGGTCGGAAAGAAGTATGCCCAAAGTAATGGCGTAAAAGCCTCAAGTGGTTTTCCATTGCAGGTGGGCAATCTGGAACATAATACATTTTTTACTGGTTAGTTATTTTCAAAAGTTCATGATGAATTAATTTTAAATGGTTTTAAAATATCAATTTTTAAATATAGGCAATACCAAATTTACAGTGGATAGGAACAAAAATAAGGAGTGATATGAAAAAAAGTTCTAAATTTTTAATAAAACAATTTTCTTTGAAAATTTTCCTACTATTCAATTATTAAAGACAAGAGTCTTCACAGAAAATGGAAACCAGAACGACATCCCAATTTATGTAGATTCTGCTTTATTTTTAAAACCATTCAAGCTATAGAATTAAAGAAATAATTTTACATAAAATTTTTACTTTTCTATTTACTATAAAGCTTTTAAGTAGAAATGTGGGTGTAATTTACAATGTACATTTTAAAAACTGGTAAAACCATGTCAGACAAAAAGTTTTATGATATTCATACTTTCAACTAGCTTTTGGAAGCCTCACTGTTTTAAGTTCTCATGGGCTGATTTTTTTCATTCTTGTTGTGACACAATTAGTTTATTTTGACAAACTTACAAACAAAAATCACCATGAAAAGTGATCTTATTAGATATTCCTCATAAAAAAGTGAAAAATTAAGAAGTTCCCTTTTAAATTATATGATCACGTTTTACAAACAACTAATTATTTTATATTATGTTTTTAAGTGCTGGAGTTTTTTGTTTGTACACTGGTCATCAATATATTGTTTTCATTCATACTGTAATTATTTGTTTCAGGTTTTAATTCTGCTTTAAAAGTAATATTAATATTTTCTTTACCTGAAAATGTATTTCAGATATATACTTACCCCTCTGCTCCAGGAAGAAGTATTACCTCATGCATAACTGACTGGTATTTATTGTATATCATACAAGCCTTGAACAACCTCCACCCCTATACATTTACATGTATTGCATCTGCCTATGACACAATTGTCATAATGCTGTAGCCCTCCACCAATTGGAGGGAGACAATACCTCCATCCACAATAATTCCCTGTGAGCACTAGCACATGTTTATAGGCTTATTCTTGACGAGACAAATGAAATGCATCAGAAATGGGAAGGAATGGTAGAAGGTGTTACAGAGAGGTATCTATCTAAAATACATTTTCAAGTAAAAAGAATTTTAGCTTTATAAATTATATTTACCTCTCTGCACCACAAAGAGCTAGAATTCCACACTGAAGATGGTGGAGGAGCCAGTGCTGATAAATTACAAAGATGAACTTCTTTCTAAATTGCAACAATAAGAGAAAGCTCATGGGGCATGACTTCCATAAGACCAGGGGTTGCCTAGTAAAGGTGCACCCAGTGGGAGATCACATCCATCTCAAGAAGGGAATACAAGTTTTTTTTTTTTTATGCATTCAGTGTTTTAAGAAGTACAATGAAGAAATGTGATGGATAGAAAAACAAAGTTGTAATCAGCTGGATGGAAATAAAGTACAACTAGGACAAAAGTAATTCAAAACTAAAAAAAAGGTAGTGGATCAAAGTGACAGAAAAAAGAAAATCTGAACACAGGCAGTGCCGAAGAAGGAATAAGCCTATGATCATGTGCTAGTGCTCACGTGGATTACTTTACATAGAGAATATGTCACCCTCCTATTGATGGAGGACTACAGCATTATGACAATTACATCATAGGTTGATGTAATACACATAAACATGTGTAGGGGTGGAAGCTTGTCAGGGCTTGCGGCATGTACAAGAAATATCATGACAGTTGCATGCAAGGTAATAGCCGTTTGTGGTGCATAGATGTAAGAAGCATTTCTGAATATATTACTAACCCTTACTGTGTGGTAAAGGATCCATCCGCAAGCTTAAATAACAATCACAGCTCACAAGATTTGTTTCATGCCACATTTTCTACAAAACATTTTATGCTACTTCAAAACTGATCTTTGATAAGTAAACATGGATCCCATGCCTTGAGCAGAATGAAATTCCCTGACTTTTCCCCACACCTTTCATCTACATACCTGTAATATATCACTACCGATATGTGAAACTGCAAAATGTTACTCATATATTGTTTAATAAAGACAAAACGGGTTGTTTATTAAGAGTCAAAGTTTACTTAAATGTTGTGTTGCAAAATTTTAGTATGACTGGTCACACTGTTCTTGAATTATTGATAACCTATCATAACAAAGGCAGTATATTCATTTTTTACACTGTATATTAATCACACTTTTTAGTTTTAATTTAAATTACAAAAACGTTATTACAGCACAAACAACACTTTAGATTTTAACAATTTGTAATTATTATGTTTTGACTTTTAATGCATGTTTACTGTTGTAAAATGGAAAATCTTTTCAACAAATGTGCTTCTTATAGGTCAAATATTTATTAATCCTCTTGCTACAGGTAGGTCAAAGTGCTCATGTCATGACATTTTAGTGTTACACTTAACATTTAATTAAGCTACTTTATTATCAGCGTATACAAATAAACTTGGCATCAAAACGTAGTTAATAAACCAAATTTTAATATAAGTTTTAATTTCATAAGAGAATATTTCCAAAAATCCTCTATCTTCCCTAGTATGAGAAATGACATTTGTTCTCTAAGTATTGCCTCTTCTCTAATTTATTTACCACTCCCTCCAAGAAGTACAGAATTTAACATAAATTACTCATTATAATATAGTTATTACTCAGGAAAAAGCATAACTTTTACAGCCTTCAATTTTATTTGGTTAGAAAGCCTTAAGCTAGAAAATCAGACCTGCTTGCCACATCCTCTCTTTCACCAATTTTCAATAGTTCTCTCTGACATTTTATACTTATTATTTATAACCATATAAAGCTAAAGTTTTAATCTATCAAATGATGTATCATATTACAGTGTTTTCTGTTTAAAGTATTGTCTATTTTGCCTTCAGTCTGAAAATTTCTCTTACGGTATTTGCATCAACAAGCTTAGCTAAATTTTTAAAGACTCTTATCACATAGTTAGAAAACCAAATAAATTATGATAGCTATAGGGCATTGTTCGCTTTCTACTTGTTAATTTTCTGTGTTGTTAGATGCATTATTTAATTAAATAAAAATTTATTGTACTAGTACCATTAGTATAAAAAAACATAGGCTTAACTTTCATCAACAGTCGCCAATAAAAAACAAAAGAACAAAGGTAAGTACTATATTTCTTGTTTTTCATGTACATTCTTATTATTATAAAAGTAACTAATATGTAAAAATTAGAAACTAATTAGACTAGATTAGGTAAAATAATGAAAAGTAATTATAATAATTCTTCACAAGGCATGCTCGTGAGAAGCTCATGCATTATGTAATTCAATAGGGTAACTTAAGCTATGCATTCACTGAGTGATTTAAAACTTGTATGGTATGATTATTAATTAGACATGGATCAAAGGTCAATAAAACAATAAAATTTAAGTATAAATAAATGTATACTGTTATGAGCTTTAAGATATTCAGGACAAACAATTGTAGTTCCCCATTACAATTTGCAGTTATTCAAGAATTAAAGAAGGACAACTTAAATATATTTTGAATTTTTTATGGTAGTTATATAATCATGATACAGAAATAACAAATGAACTACAACATTTTCTTCTCAAAAAATAAAAGTTTGATATATATATTTAGGAGGTTTTAGAAGTTATGCAAATGAAACTTGAAAATTTTCAGATGAAGAATAGTATTTTTAATTTTAACATGAAAATCACTTTCCACTCGGAGCAGCAACACTCTTACTCTGTACATTCATAGACAAATTTTTAGTAAAAATTCTTAATTAAAAATGTGATGCTTTGTGTACAAAAGACTTATAATGTTTACTGAAAGCTTGCCAAATTTAATGAAGATATACAAAACATTAAAAGTTATAGTATGAAAACTCTGATGGTAACTTTTGGGTTACAAACTTGGTTGAATTGATTAAGCCTATAGAAAGAGGGTTAAAGCAATATTTTCTGATGTACATACCAGCACAAAAATTTCAGTTACTAACATATTCTGCTGTAAATTTATATTTTCGATATGTATAAAACAACAGCACACATTAAAAAATTATCCAGAACATGTCAATGTGGCTCAAACTCTGAAACTGTGCACATCAAGTTCAGTTATGTCAAAAGTATTGAAATCTTCGAATTAACATGACTATATAATAATTGATCAAGATGTTCCTAAAAATATTTTCAGGTTTATTCAGGTATAGTTTGTTCACGAGAGATCACCAGATTCTACTTACAAATAACAAAGTTGTAAATTCTAATTATACATATAGGACACTTCATACACAAAACAAGATCCACTGATAAAACATCCACAATGCTTACAATTCCATTACTTCTATTCCATCATAATGTACAATCATACCCATAAAGACTATGGAACTGGCACAGACACAAATGTTACTTACCCTCCTCAAACATTTTTGTCATTGACACTGATAGTAAACTAACAAACAACAACTTATAAGCATAATGAAAATAATTTTATGTACAGAACGTACTAAATAACACTAATCTGTCTTGAAACATGTAGTATGTTATCTAGATAAAATAATTTTGTCAAGAAAGTACTAAATAACACTGATCTGTCTCAAAACATGTAGCATGTTATCTAGATAAAATAATTTTATGTAGAGAACGTACTAAATAACACTGATCTGTCTCGAAACATGTAGCATGTTATCTAGATAATATAATTTTATGTCGAGAACGTACTAAATAACACTAATCTGTCTCGTAGCATGTTAGCTAGATAAAATAATTTTATGTAGAGAATGTACTAAATAACACTGAGCTGTCTCAAAACATGTAGCATGTTATCTAGATAAAATAATTTTCATTACACTTATAACTCTTTGTTTGTCAATTTACTATTGTATTGGTATAATGTGTTTTCATACAAAAGTCCACTGACAGTGATATTGCATACTAGTTTCACACAACTCAAGTGTCAAGTTTTCATTTTGTTCTCACATAATGTTGCTTATTACATTGAATAAAACTGCTACCAAGTACAACTTTTACTAAAAGTACTCACATATTCAATCTGACATGGCATTTGGATTTAGACATAATGAAAAATACTAACACATCACCTGCTCTTGAACTTACTAGCACTATACAATCTCCAGAATAATCAATATCTCGACATCAAGACTATATCATGATCTGAAAGCCCATAGTTTCAAAACAATGCCAAATCTATTAAACCAGCTCTGTTAAGCTCCACATGCTCATCTTTACCTTCAGTCTTTATTTTTTCCTACACCTAGCATCTTGTTTGTTGCTTGACAAATATATGGCTTCCAACTTTTATGAATCTGTTTGAGTGAGACGTTTGAAAAAGTAAAGTTTTAGTGTATGGTAAAGTACTGCAAGTGCTGAAGGTGGTTGCCTTCTGGGATGGGGTGGGGTCTGGGATGTTTTCTCTCATAAACACTTTTATTCAATGAAACAAAATGTGCAATCTGGTGTGCATTTCCTGGATTTCTATGATGCTGAATTTGACCTGGATTCAGCCAATCAACCAACTGCAATGCATTATATAAAGCTGCTAAATTGACCAAAATGGGATTTTTTTTTTTTACTAACACTTGTAAACTTGAGAACAGATCCAGATATGCAAGTCTCACTCTCAATGGGTAAGAGTTGGTAGCAATAAAAATATTAAATTTTCCTAATACATTAGACATATATGCTATGCATTAAATTATTTATTATTAGATTAACAAGATATATTCAAGTAATCACTGGTAAAATTTCAATTGCTTCTATAAAGATTCATGGGTAACAAATAGTGCCATATTATCAAAAAACCCTGACATGTGTCATATTATTAGTTATTGTCAAAGGAACATTCTATATCTTAATATTTTTTAATTTGACCATTTTCTAAGTTGCTAATATTATACATTGTCATCCATATTCTGCTTTATACGGATTTTCCTTAACAGTCACTGGTGATGTTCTAGTTGTCTTTTGGAGATATCACCTGTCAACAACCCCAGCCCAAGCTGAACTATGCATCATGACATTTTGTGCTGTAGCAAATGTTTGGTTATGTTTATTTTGCTTTATTATAAATTAATACAAAATAAGTGATAAATTATTATTTTATCTAATTATTGTTATTTTTGATAATTAATTGAATATATATAAGTACAGCTACGAAATAAAAACTCACCAAAACTGTATAGATTTTGTTTTGTCCTTGAACTATCAGGTTATACCAAAATAATCTAATTTTTCATTTTAAAACCATTCCAATCTTTCCTACACAAAAATGTCAATGACATAATATACAGAGAGGATTACATGTACATTCTGACTACTAACACAGATACTGTTACATTAGTGCACTAAAATTTGTAAGATAAAAATAACTTACTTAATGGAAACAGTTTACCTCTAAATAATAATTTAAAGGCTATTGTGCTGTAACTAAATGATCCTCCATGACCTAGTTTTAAGAAGATGAAGCAAAGCCTTTTACAGAGTCTTTACACTCTGTTCAAGTGGGAATCAAGCTTCTGTTCACATAACCTATTTCAGCTGCCTTCGTACTCAATGACAAGTATCAGTAAGGAAAAAGATCAAGAAGATAAAACAATATTTATGCATAATACATGCATACTGATGCGCTAAATATGGGCCAAAATTAGCCTGTATCAATTTCTTTGGTTAACCCTTCCCCACATAACAGGAGTAAAACCTGACAAAAATAACATACCATAAAGGTTGCTATCAGTATCAGGTCTGCTTGAAGATTGAAAACAAAGGAACCAGTGTTAGTATAATGTTGTAAACAATACCTTAATGTGAATATTATTGCTACCAAAACAACAACAAAAAAATGAAAGAGATTTAGTTTTTTCGGATGTGGTTGTAACTCCTGTAAGAAAGGCAACAATAGTTATTATTTATTTTAGAATTACATACGTTTCAATGGTAAAAATTTTAATCATCAACACATGTACCAAAATCTTGCTCATTTTGATCATCAGTTTCAAGATTTTTTTCATCAACTTTAAGGCCATCACAATTTGGTGAATCTTCTGTGTTATCATAATCTTCATCTTCATTATAAAAGCTTTTTTCTGCTTCCTCACATGCCTATACAAAAACAAATTACAAACAGTATAATTATAGTACCTTCCATACTAAATAAAACACTTTTTATTAACAGAACCATGAATTAGAAAATGCAGTCTAACGTTTAACAACACAGCCAGCCACACAAGTGACAAATAACATATTTACTGGACATTTCGGAATAAAGATTCCATCTTCCTCAAATCCATACATTAAATGCAAATAATAATTATAAAGAGCAATGTAAATGTACAATATAAGTTATTATACAACCATAAATATTGTAATGGAAACATTAAGACTCAGAGAGGGGGGTAAATGTAAGAACCAGTAAATTAACTTTGATACAGATCTACAATAGATAAGTAAATGTCCCTATATAGTTAATGAAAAACAATTAAAATAAGCTTAACTCAAAACAAAAACTGAGTTATTATTTAAGCTAGAAAGATTTTGTATCATAAGAAGACTTTCTTTAATTAGAAGTTCCACATTTGTGTTGCCCATAAACTTCAAAGTCCACTGATGAGACTGTGTCCAGTAGTTTGACTCTGTGTGTGGATAGTAAAAGTACAAGATGATAAAAAGTGTCCAGTCCTGTAGGAAATTCCCATGTGTTTATGGATATGTACAGTTGAATAATCTTTAATCATAAAATAAAATTCATGTTCTTTCATGCACCAGGAATACATTATTGTACTTTTGGATTATATTAATAAGTATGGATAGAAAAAATGTGTAAATGAGATAAAGTTTCCAGATAAAAATGAGCTCAAACTTGCATAAAATTTCCAAGCATACACCTGTTGCCTATCTTCAAGGAAAATTAATCAGATACACTATTACCTATTATAAAATATGGATTATTAAACAAAACGTGATAACTGTACTAGGAAAAAAAAGAGGGTTCATAACAACAGATTAAAATAATTAACAAACCAAACTTTCTCTTAAAAAAAATGGAGCTCATAAAAGGACCACAAATGTTAAATCTATTTAAAAATGCAGCAGCTGTAGATAAAATATATACAAGACAGATGCCATTCACCATGGCATTTAAAGCACCACCAAGTTTGACTTATCACATTCATTCTGGTTTTTGATAGATAGCGCTTATCACAGCTTTAACTCTTTAAACCAGCATCCAGCCGAAAATCCCAATTTACCCATTGAACGGTGACAGTGTTCAATAACATTTATGTTTCTTTGGCTGAAAACTAATCCAAACAATTTCGATGACGAGGAACCCACTTTGAGACTAATAATGGCTGGAGACGGCTTAAATGGGTAATGAAGAAAAACTTTAATATAAGTTTAACATGACAGCAAATGTACAACGATGATGACAAAACCTTGT